TGTTATGTTATGTAAAATTGGTGCAAAATTCTCAATAGAATATTTAGTTTTACAGTTCAAAGACCTTTTTCCTAACCCTAACGTACCCGCATCATAACATCACTACATTGAAACTGAAATTCAGAGCACGTGACATATTCATACCTAGTAACCAGTACAATGAAAAATTCATAGCATCTAGAAAATCCCAGGCGAACCAAATTTTCAATATAAGGCACTAATAATTCACAGCCCTGTGTCAAACATTATTGTATGTTAAAGGACGTTGACCCTTAGAAAAATATAGTAAGAATTACCTTCGATTTTAAAGTGTAAATCGTGACTAGTGTTTATAATTACCTGGGTACGTTTTGAAGATTTTTATTGACTTCACAAATCCAAATTTTCAAATTTAACAGTCTATTACTAACAGTATATATGCCCACATTTGCAGTAAAGCCTCTTTACACGCGGAGAAAGTTTGAACATTAATCGCCACGCTTGCTCAATGGCGATTTCAAACTTATAATTAAGAATTACAAGCCTTAGGTTTCCTTATGATGTTTTTCCTTCACCGTTTGTCAGTGGCGTCTAAATAATCTTAGAAAGTACAGATAACTCGGAAAATGTCATATAATAAACTTTTTAAACAATATAATCTATTTTTTCCATGTTCATAATGTTGAAACAATATAGATTGCCTTTCCAAATATTTTCCATTAATGAATTCGTTTTTTTGTTTACAGGTCGATGTATTCCTGTCATCAGTAGGTAAGCACCTAAATCAACAAACCCTGAATCACAATCGATACGTGACTGAAAATAGATTTATAAATAGCTAATGTATGTATAGCGATATATTGAAACGACCGAATGAAGTGGTATTGGTTTAACGATTCGTTTCTTCTACATATATGTATGTAACCAGTTTCTATCTAATTATGCAACTATGTTAGTGATAAATGTCGTACAAATTGTATTACAGGTTAAAGTAGTGTCCAATTATTACTAGGAAGTAGAATTATTATACATATGTATTTTTTATGGTATAAGCCGATAAACGAGCTGATGGATCACCTGATGGTACAATCGGCGTTGCCCATGGACACCTAGAACACCAGAGGCGTTACAAATGCGTTACCGGCCTATTGGGGATTAGGAATTTGAAGATTGTTAGTGATTCAGTGATTGGGAAGATTAGGGAGTGGGGGCGGGAGGTAATTAGGCCTCCTGTAACCTCACTCACACGATGAAACACAATGCAAGCATTGTTTTACGTCGCTGTGCTGTGAGGCCGTGGTATCATTCCTGTCGAGCCGGTCCATTCGTACCGAAGCATGGGTCTCCCACACTTATAATAAAATAAGTAAGTTAGGATGTAGAATCTACGAAGATAAAAAGGTTAATTAAATGATGTCATTCTCTCTCCATCAAACGTAATAGTTTGGCGAGTGAAATAAATAAAAAAAAAACTTAATAACTTACATGAAGGTTTTAATTAGCTTTGTTTAGATAATATTTTCTTCTAGGGACGTTGTAACTAAGCACCTAGTATTGACAACATAAAATTTTGTGTCCAGATCAAAATGACAGGGTCACCTATCTAAAGTAACGATAGGCGAAAAACGGCCATTTTACACGACTAACCTTTTGGCTAATATGAGCCTTATGACCTTTCTAATAGGCTCTCAGGTTTTACAACACTCACATCTGCAAAATTTAATCGTGGGTCCCTTTTTAATATCTTTATTAAAATATAAAAATAAATTCGTCATCTAAACTCCTTTGGCTCTGGCGTCGTAAAATAACAGCTGTTCTGCAAATATTTTTTTCATATGAAAGCTGAAATTGGCATGAATAACGCTTTGTGACTAACACACGTGCGAATTTCAAATTGTGAACTATTTAATAAAATATTACTGGCATGCGATTGTAACGAGCTAGTGAATTGAAAAATGTCGTAACATTACGACTGTTATTACAAAAATGAGCTCCACTATGTTCGACGTAATGGCTATATTTGCTTTACACGTGAAATAAATTGTTGGTAAAAATCGTCAAATTTTTACCTAAATTTCAAGCAAGGTCGTAACACTTGATTTGATCATTAATAATGGTGATAATAATCTCCTATTTAAAATTAAACTTTATTTGTTGTGTGATAAGTATCAAATATCGATAAAGCGCTTTTTATACATTAACATTGGATATATTATTATCATGAATGTAAAATTTAGTTCTTGTACAGATAATAATTTGGTAATAGCAAATTTTATTGGAATCTGCGAAAACAATCGAAAGAACTTTAGCAATCAAATGAAATATATAACAAATCACACTTCTTATATATAAGAAGGTGAAACAAATTCGTACGTAGGGAATCGGTTCAGAAAAACTTAAGCATCGTATCCACTACACCACGTATGGAGTGCGACATGTTAAACGTCCGTGCTCAACTTTTCAGCAGCGTTCTCTGTCTACATAGTTATAATTTCGCTCGCTAGAAACGTCGATAAAATGTCGCCACAAGAACGATTGACACTTGTACGTTACTTCTCACATCTTTATTAAATGTTTGGCATCATTTTCCCATGCATGAGGGTGCTGAAAGCTACCAACGGCAAGTACCAATGTGACTTTTTTCGAGTTATGTACTTTCTATGATTATTTAGACATCACTGACAAACGGTGAAGGAAAACATCGTGAGGAAACCTGGACTTATAATTTTAAAATTGGATTAATGCTCAAACCTTCTCCGTGTGAGAAGAGGCTTTGCTTAGCAGTGGGCATTTATAGGCTGTTGATGATGATGATGATGATGATGATTATCTTTGGAGGTTAAACTGCATAATAATATATTGCACCGACCGAAACAAACAACGCGCCGCATGTCATGTTGCGCAACGTAACGCTGCCAAGCATGTCATGTTTTACCTAGTGGATACGAAGCTTAAGGTTCAGTGTCAGTGACCTTGAAATGGAAAAAAGGTCCAAGAGCTCTCATAGTAATCGTGGGCCCAACGACTCGTCTTAATCAAAGTCCACAAATATACTGAAACAGTTTCGCAGTTTTTCTGGAGAAAATCATTTCACTTAGTAACTTGTTTCGAGACGGTAAAAGGTTAGTAAGTTATGTAATTTCATTATTTTAGCCATTGGCAGGGCTTCGGTTACTTACTTCGGTTTGTCAAATTTTAATTAATGTCTAGAAAAAACTGTCTGATGGAATTCTGATGTTGTTATGTGGTACTGTTTTGTATGGAATCATTTATCAACTTACTAAAAAGTAAGGGGCCGTTTGCAATACGTTATGTATGTTATTGGCAAAGCAAGTATATTGATATAGATTCTATGGTTTCTATACATTTTCCAACGTAAAGCCTCATGATCAATGATGCGGTAATACTTTTCTTTCCACGTAGAAGCCAGAACATCTGTCAACAAGTAAAATAATTAGGTACCCAAGGTCTTCAAGATAAATCTTATTTTCAAAAGAAATTTAATTAGCAGACCGTTTGACTTGAATTAAATTATCAAATAATTAAATTTCACCGAACATTCTTTTATCATTTTCTGAGAAAACTTCAATATGTATGACGATACTGGTTACTTTTATCTTTGTTTACAAAGGACATCACTTAAACTTATACCAGTTACTACATTATACTTTCGGCTCTATTATGAAACTGTAGAGTTTATAATCTATTGAAGTTTAATAGTTTAAAGTGGCATGTGTTGTACCCACATACTAGCGAGCCGTCTCTCAAAGAAAGTTCGAAAGTTCTCTAGATTTCTCTGTACATTATGGATTTTATTAAAATTGACCTGATAATAAAAAATATAGTCTTAAGGACTTCTTTGATACAATGTTCTAAAAGATGATGCCGTGTCGATCAAAGTAAGAGAATACTCTACGATGAACAGCGAAAAAGTTCCAGGTATTCATATAAACTTAAAAGCAGGATATCAGAACGATGAAATACAATGCTCAATCAATCTTGATCTTCCAATAATCAAATTTCAACCCTATGGCCATGTTTAAATAAAGGTGCCATCTTTGTAAAGCAATTTAACCCCTTCTTCATTCATCACTTTCGCATCCCACCCTAATTAGTTAAAACGTCACTTTAATTTTGTATCGAACTTCCATAAATCTTAATTAATAATGACGTCATAATGATGTAATTTGAGCGTTGTTTGATGGGGTTTCTAGGAATTTTCAGGTATGGCTGTTATTTGTCGATATAAATTTACTGATATGTTTATATTGAACACTGTTTAATATTGGTACCGTTACTTAAATAATATTTTAGTATGATGTCAATCGAACTTATAGGAATAATAACAAATTTAATAATCCGATTTTTCATGAGAATAACACATACCAAACCAAACTTCTTCAAAAAATTCAAGAGATTTAGATATGACTAAACAGTGGAGACAAAATAGTAGAAAAACATATTTATAGAAAATAAACTCCGCTTTCTTCGTTGTAATAAGTCCAATAAAACTGTACGTGAAGACAATAATAGTATCAAAACTAACACTCCTCAACAGTTCTGTGAGTAACCACAAGGCCGCTGGGCAGATAATTATGTCCAACCGCGAACTTTAATCAAAGTTGATTGATAGATTGATAAAGGGTAATTATGATTGATACTCCTAAAGTTGACTATTACACTTTAATACAGTAATATACTCTAATAGATTAATTTCAATTTTGCTCTCAGAAACAATTTATGTTGCAATTAAAATTAAAAAGTCATGAATGACAGTTACTGCTTACTATTTTTTTTTTAAATACGGTGCCCCATATTATGATTTTATCCTGTGTCGTGGGTGCGTTTGCCAACATACATACCAGTTCACGTACACATGACACCCAGACCCGGAACAACAATCTGTGGACAATATCACACAAAGAGTAGTTCCGTGCGGGAATCGAACGACATGTTTCGCAGCAGCCAGCCAAACAGCGCCAAACGTGCAGTTAATTGGTCTTGCCGACTGTACATTAAACTCCAAAAAATAAAATCTTCCCACTTTTTTTAAATATCGACGTAAACATTGAAGTTATTTTGCTATCAACACTAGTTTTAGAGCGGGCAATCTAAATGTGTTTAGCGAAGATTTATTGTTTTAAAAGAATTTACTATTATTTTCAAGTATCAAAATAGTTTGTTCGCTCTATAGTGTTTGAAGTGAGATTAAAAGGTCGTAGTATTCAATCTTTAGTTTCCAGCAAATAAAATTAAACTTTATTTAGATTGAGATAAATGCGTTTTTGATAGGAAAGTTTCAGTTCTTATAATGCATACCTTGATTTTTATTTTTTATTTTATTTATTTATCTTTATCTCACACTGGTAAGTATTTTATAATCTAAGCCCCACAAAACCGTTGCAATGGTTTGACTGCGGGGTTGAGTCGCTAGACATTATAATCAAATGTACTTATATTTAAATGTTATACCGGCGTTGAAACTTATACTTACTTATTATTAGGACATTTCTAAATAATATGACTTTAATTTTCGTTTGAACCTATTTGAATTTGTTTCACTCCTTATGTCTGCCGGCAGACTGTTTAATAGATACGGTATTCTCTTTTTTAGTGTTCTATCACCAAAATAGTTGGTGACTCTGGGTACATTGTATCTACCAGCAGCCATAGTTCGTGTGTTATGGTTGTTCTTTACATAAGATAAGTCATGCTCCTGTGTACGGTGGTGGTTAACTAATAATATATATTTATGTTTGTAAGTAATCGGT